TCAAATAGTCAGATTAAACTGAGGAGGAAAGCAAATCCGACATGGCTAATTGAAGTTGTTTCAGAAGGAATGTTTGTGAAGAAGGTTATCTACAGTTTTCTGTTGGCAGTTATGGAACTCATGCTCATAAGAGGACACTGAAGCTATTTCTGTTTGCTGTTTCACTGCATTAATGTGTCCAGGACGTGTTATTTCCATTTCTCTTTGTGCAGAAAGTGGAAACAATCTTTAATTTTTGGGCTCTGTTACTTGAGAGTAAGTTAATGTGAACAGCAGGCAGGGAAAGATGTTCTGGCCCAAGCATCAATTTGTGAGGCAGCTCCAGCTGAGAGCCCTTGATGATGTGATATGGAATTACGCTAAAGGAGGAGTAGCTGGTTTGTTGCAGTCTGAATGTGGGTATGTTTATATCCCATCGCATTCAGTGTATATATAGATATATATATATATATATATATCTGAATCAGCTGGGGGAAGAAATGCAAAGTTTGACCAGGTCCTGTATTATTTCAATCTTTGTTTAGCAATTCATAGTGTTGATGTTAGCGCATTACATGATAGGTGGGTGGTTGAGTTTTGAGCGACTCCTGTAATTATTATATGCTTTATTCCTTGTCGTAGCACTTGGTTCATAACACGCATCAGCCGAAGTTTCTGATTAACTAAAGATGTCAGTGGCCTTTTGATCGTACCCAGTTTAATTTCTAGTGTAGTATAGACACACACACACACACACACACGTGTGCATTTGATCTCCAACTTGGCTATCTCCTATTATATATACTACTCTTCTTTGAATAGAACGAGGAAAGTTCTATACTACACCATTAGTTTACCTTACTAAAAATATAGGAATCATGAATTTGGCTCGAATAACCAAAGTACAAATATGAATTATGTGTTAAGTTTACGTGTTCAGAATTTTCCTCAAGTTCATCGCATTAAGATGCAATTTAACAGAGTTATATGGCAATCATATTTATTCATAAAAAAAAATAATAGTATATTGAGACTTCTGTATTTCTCATGAGTCCCTCATTTCCATCATCAGATTCACTTTAACTATTACATCTTAATATGATAAACATACCTTATGACACTTGGAAATAAACCATAATTTTTTTTCTACTTCAATTATAAACTAAAAATATGAAACATTTGTGATTCAATTCACATTACTACATATTATTCTTCCTAGTCTTATGCAATTTGTCTCATTTGTATAGTTTATATAGAATTAAACGTGTAGATGTTCATTACAACAAAAATACTTTATGAATTGTCTCGCATAAGTCAATTACGTGTAAAGTTGCTTCAATATCAAGCATAGAAGATTCATCATGAACTAGGCGCATATTAATTTTTAGATTGAGGTTACTGCAATCGTCTTGTATGTGTTCTATCATGTGTTGATATTATCAACTTATCAATATTCTTGTATCATATAAAAGTAATCTTTACGCATGGTGTAAAGTTTGTAAAAGAAGTTAATATTAATTAATAATTTGTTATTATTTAAAAAAATATGTCCTATTTGATTGCTGATATTTAATCGAAAAATTTTTTTTTAACGAAGAGAATAATTGTTTATAAAAAATTTTTTAATTAAATGTATGAGATCAAGTTATCCAATCATATTATGTAATGATAAATAGATATGAGATTTAATATATTGTTGTTGATGATTATGTGTATTTAAAATATAATATGATAAAGAAAAACCTTATGTGGGAAAACTATTCATAGAAATATTTATTTATGGAATTGATTCATTTAAGGGAAACTTGTTTTCAAATGGAATTGCTAGTAATATTTGGTTAAACCAATTCTATAGAAATATAATATTACATGGTTACCAAATATTCTTATTTCTTAATTGGTATCAATATGCATTTAAAATTAGTAAAATAATTTAACCTAGAATAATATTTAATTTTCTAGAAATTTTGATATATATATATATATATAAGCAAACAAACAATCATTTGATTTGTTAAAAAATTAAATTAAACAAAAAGATTAAAAACTTGTTTCTTATATGAAGTTGAGGAAACACCTTCAACAAATATTTATTAACAATTTTATTTACCATTATATTTTTAAAAATAAATTAAATAAAAATAATGTAGTTCAATATACTAATGCTTGAATATCATATAATGGGTTAAGAAAATAAAAAAATAAAAAATAGTAGTTTTTTTTTATTTAATTTTTTAAGTTTAATTCAAACCTAATTTAATTAAAATGACCAAAGCAATATACACATGGTATCTAACATAACATTTAGAAGAAAAATAAATCATAAATTTAAATCAGTCCATCAAATACTAAATCAATAATTTAAAAAAATATAAAGATTAATTTGAAATAAAATTAAATAAAAAATTAATTAGAGCAAAAGTTAAGAATATAAGAACATAACGATATTTTGACCGAAGAGAATTTGGATTTTGAAGTAGAAAAGCCAACGGCCTCTTGTGTCCATTCTCCGACACTTCAAAAATGGAGCTTTCTGCTGCTTCTGCCCGCCTAAGCTGCTACTCTTCTTGGCAAACCAGACCTCGGGTTTGCGTTTTTCATCCAACTGGCGCTCTAAACTTTTCTCTTCGACAATCTCTCTTCTCATTTAAAAACCATTACCGCACGCAAATGGACTCTCGCTCTCATGAAACTCTCTCTTGTGCTTCACTTCCCCAGAGCAACGCCTCTCCTGTAACTTCTCCACAATCCCACTCAGGTAAACCGAAGAGATAAAAACCCTAAATTTATTTTCTTCCAAACTGATTAGTATTCAGCTTTTCTTTTTCTCTTTTATCCTTCCTTCCCTCTCCGCCATCTTTTTAAGGGTTTCGTGGGATTTTCTTCTGTCGATAGATCGAATTGGAGAAGTTAAGAGAGTGACGAAAGAGACGAATGTGTCGGTGAAGATTAACCTGGATGGTACTGGGATTACTGACAGTTGTACTGGCATTCCCTTTCTTGATCATATGTTAGATGTATGTTACCATTTGGGTTATTCATTTTAGAACAATTCGTTTATATGACCGCTTTGACTTTCAATGTGGAATGTTTAATTGCTGTTTGGTTAATGTTAGAAAATTATCTAATAGGGTTGGAAACGAAAGCCCTCTGCTTTTATTAGTTGAATATGAATATGTTCTTGATATTTAGTACCGTATATGTTTACCAATTATTGTTTATATGTACTGAGTATATTGATTTTTTCCATATTTTTTTCCCTTCTTTTGGAATCTGGTATGTTGCGTTTAATTGTTCTTTTGGTTGTTTATTTTAGCAACTTGCTTCACATGGGTTATTTGATGTCCACGTAAAGGCCACTGGTGACATTCACATTGATGATCATCACACAAATGAAGATGTTGCTCTCGCCATTGGAACAGTGAGGACTCTATCTCAGCTTTTTCATAACAAGCTTGAGTTTCAGCGAATCAATTTGCTTTCTATAATTGACCTCATTAGAAAGAATTTTAGTTTTCCCGTCAGTACTAGCATTTGAAGTTCTAATTCCTTAATTGTATGTTGGTCTTACCCATGGAACCACCTTAGTGGTGGTGAAGGCGTATATGGTTAAGTAGGAGGTCTAGGTTTGTTTCCAAAAACCTAACATCAGAGGATATGGCATTTTTTTGGTTAATCCTTTTCATTCAAATGGGATTTTGTTGTATACCCGTGTGGCTTGTTGGGGATATGATAATGAATTCACTCTTGGGAGCAGCAACTATGATTCAAATTGAATATTCCATAATAGGTTATTCCTTTGGCCACGCTTGGGGGAACAACTATGATGTTCGTCCCTGTGGCTTACCTTTTTTTTCCTTTTCTTTTTTGTTAAAAAAGGTCTTATAATGGCACCATGGGCAAATCATATGGCTTTTATTTTGTCTGCAGGCCTTGCTGCAAGCGCTTGATGACAGGAAAGGGATTAACCGATTTGGTGACTTCACAGCTCCACTTGATGAAGCATTGATACATGTTTCACTGGTATGATTGGTATAATTAACTTGTATGGATGATCATGTCATTGTAATTTCGGGTAAATATTGTAACTGAAGTCCAGATTTTTATTTCCATAAATACCCAAAAACAAAAGGTATGATGTCTGATTAATCTAGTGGCCAGGGCTTTCAAATTAAATGCGACCAAGTATGAATGGAGTTATGTATATCACCTGCAATTTCAACCCGAAAGAAGCACTATATGATTCAAAATTTGTTTATCCTCTTGATCTGTAAGTTTACATGCATCTAGTGTTCCAAGTGAAGATTTGGTCCAAACAAATAGGAACTGGTAAGGAGTGACAATTTGCAAATTGTGCTAACTAATCAAACTCTCAGGGATAGGCTTTGCAAGTGTAGATTCCAAATACTGTATTTTGACTCACAGTTATTCATGTATGCTATATTATTAGCAGTGCCTATGTCATGTTCTGCACATTGCTTTCTGTAACCATCTTGCTTATTGATGAGAGATTCTTTTGTTTCAGGATTTATCTGGAAGACCACATTTAAGTTATGATTTGCAGATTCCAACTGAAAGAGTTGGAAAGTATGACACACAGGTTGCTTACTTCTTTTTCTTCTCTCTCATCTACTCCAGTTGAAGAGTGCTGGTGGAAGTTTACTCTCTGGAAATGTCAACTTATTATGATACTGCATGTGTTAGAGTGTCTTAATCCTGCAATTTATGCTGTTCAATTTCCCTTCTTTCGGTTTGTTTTTGTAATCCTCTGAAACTAGCTTAATTTTTAAATCCTCCTATTTGTAGCTGGTGGAGCACTTTTTCCAGTCTCTGGTGAATACTTCTGGTATGACACTTCACATCCGGCAG